CAATAGTAAAGTTAAGCATGTGCATAAGTCTTGGCAGGACCACATCCTTATGCAGTAGAAGGGAAAATCTAAAGATTTACTTCCTACTCACACATTCATGTGTGAATGAACGTGCATGCACATGAACGCTTTTTATGTAAAATGAGCCCATCAAGTGCAGTGTTGTTTTTCCAGGAGGAAAAAATGCATCAGAGGGGTGCGGTTTGGGGGGGGGGCCTAAGGCGGACTGTCTGATGAGGTTTTCCAAGTTTTCATTTTTTTGAACTTCTGTATATCTGAAATATTTACATGAACATAACTTGTATTGTGTTTATGGTGCCAGAAATTAGATTCTGGTATCAACTTGTGAATGACATCTTTAACTATTCTAGAAAGTTAAAAAGGAAGTAATGAGACCATCAATTTTTATGATGTAGTATATTTTAATAGTTCATTAGTATTGTTTTAACTTTGTAAGCCTTCAAAACAATTTTTAAGAATAACAATATTTTGAACACATATATGTATGATATGAAGAGTTATCAGGTCTCCCCTCAGTCTTTCTTTCTCAAGAATAAATATAACCAGTTTTCTTTTTAGCCTATTCTCATAGGTCAGGTTTTCAAAACCTTTTATCATTTTTGTTGCTCTCCTCTGGACTTTCTCTAATTTATCCACATCTTTCTTAAAGTGTTGTGCCTAAAACTGGACACAATACTCCAGCTGAGGCCTCACCAGTGCCAAGTAGAGTGGTACAATTGCATAGTCCCTGCATCCCTGGGATGGAGCATGCTCAGTGAAGATGGAATCTTGGAAGAATTTAGCTGCCAAAGTCTAACAAGTCTCTGCTAAGCATACGGGAACAGATTTTTAAAAGGCTTTCAACTCGGCAATTCAGAAATTCAAGCAGATTTTCAAAAGAACAGCAAAAAATAAATAAAAATAAAAATAAAAAAAAAACCCACCCTTGCCATCAAGTGCATCCCTGCCAAAATGTCATGTCCCTGCTCTAAAGCATGGAGGTGCTATAGTTTCTCAATGAAACATTCATAAGAATTTTTTTTTAGCATGGGCAAAACAGTGTATTTTTCCCTAATCTAATCCTTGGAAATGTCTGAACCATTTTTTGCTGAAACTTTCCCAAAAAGTTCAGCCTAAGGTAGATGCCAGCACGGGAAGTTTCAGCCAGTGTTAATCAAAATTATAAGCAACTCAAAATAGGATCTTATAATGGTAAGTTTGAGTAGCCATAAGTATAGGCAGTGCTAACAGCTTCATCTATAATATACTACTGTTTGCGCCTCTTAGTTCTGTAGAGACACCATAGCTGAGATGGAGAGAGATGGATTCTATGCCCTTTTTTGTTCAACATTAACAGAATTGTATACTTAGTTCGAATTTGTCACTTGTGTTAAAACTCATTAAATGCAATAGGATGGCATAGGTGTTACTGAGGGCCTAACTGGAAGATGGTGGGATTGCATAAGTGCCAGTGAGAACATAATTTGTTCTACAGAACCTTAATTGTAGGTGAGGAAGATGTATAAGGAAAAAAGAGACTATCTTGACTCCAGGTTCTCGAGCTGAGTTTTCAGGGCTTGCAGGTAGGGGAAAAAAAACACGTATTTTGCTTGTAAATGGAGCATATTTTATCTGAAATCACAGACACAAAAAATGTGGGTGTCAGTTTCAAGAGTCACTTTTCACAGTAGTGTCATCAGACGCTACCGGTGTGGTGCTCTGCTCTGTTCAATGTTGATATCAGTCGGCTACGTGCGTATGTTCCCTCTGTGTGCTGCCCCGGCTCTGCGCAGATAGCTGACACAGCAGACCCCGAGAGAACCCCCAAAGACCACAGACTCTGATAAAGTACGAAGGCACCCGGCCAGGTTTATTGCCAAACGAAGCACAGTAATAGTTCCCCGCAGACTCTACAGGACATACTACGAATATCTGCCCCTGACAATGGACCGTCTCAGTCAGTGGCGGGACTCTCCACTACCCTCTAGGCCAGACAAAGACACCGCCCCAGGGATGCATTCTTATACACAGATACAAACAAGTATCACTCCTGACGTATTGAGGTGCAACCCCTCTACGTAGCAAGGTACAACCAGGGCCGGCTCCAGGTTTTTTGCCGCCCCAAGCAAAAAAGGGGCCGGAGTGCCGCCACCGAAGCAAAAAAACAAAACAAAAACAAAACGGAGTGCTGCCCCTTGAAAATGGCCACCCCAAGCACATGCTTGGAACGCTGGTGCCTAGAGCCGGTCCTGGGTACAACCCATCTAAGCAGTAAGGTGCCGCCTCTCACCTTGTACATGTTGGTTCGAACAAAACAACTCTATCCATCATATTACCCTTTTGACCCTATCGTTAGGATGGGTCAAAAGTTCCTTGTTCCCTGTTCCTTGTTATCTGAGTGGAATGTGCCAGTATCAGAGTATTCTGGTACCATATGTTTATATCTGTAGTATCCAATACATTGTAGGTATATGTTTGTGCAACCTCAGCCCTTTCCTTGCCAGCTTCTGTGAGCAGGACCTGCCTCTGGCTCACAGCTTAACTTTGCTTTATATTAGCAAAGTCTTGACCGTTACTTTAGCTCAGGCCTTAGGCCTCATACCGGGCCTCTGATACCAAGGGTTTATGTGTCAGGGCCTCATCTTACTACAAGTAGTAGTGCACTTTGTGCCATTTTTGTGCCTATCCACTCACCCAGTAATGGCCCCTAAGCACATCCTGTATCAGTCTTAGAAAGGTTTATATTGTTTACCAGATTCACAGCTGCAGTAGAATAACAACTATTTGTCTTTACTTTTAAGACCCTCCATGGACTATTTCACCCTATTTATCATTTTTCATATTCTATCAGACGTATATTCCCACCTCCACTGTCAGCGATGCCAGACTTCATTGTCTAATTGTCTAATTTTCCATTAAACAACTTCATGCTCTTCTTCTGTCCCCCATTATGCTTAGAAAGAGCCCCCTTTACAAATCTGCAAAACCACCACGTTGCTTCCTTCAGATTGCTTCCTAAAACTCACCTCTGCTTCAACACCTACAAAAAACTTGACACTGGTTAGCTGGTGTGCTCTGACTGCTGCTTATCACACAGATCATAATTTTCTCATTGTTACCTTTTATTCCTCTATTTGTTTGCTTTATCCCCCTACTGTAGGATAGTCCAATAGTTAAAGCATTGCTCTAGGACTCAGGAGATGTGGGTTTAATTCTCTACTCTACCACAGACTTATTGTGTGACCTTGGGCAAGTCACTTGCCTCTCTGTACTTCAGTTCCTCTTCTATAAAATGGGGATAATGATACTGCCCTACCTCACAGAGGAGTTGTGAGGTGGTCAGATACTACAGTGAGGAAGGCCAGATCTACTTAAGATAGATTTTGACCATCAGCTTTTCGGGGCAGAGATCACATTTTTGTTATGGAGCTGATGCCTTTAGACATTAGAGATTAATTAATCCTCACAACACCTCTGAGATATAGGTAGGTGAGCAAATATTATTCCCATTCTATAGGTGCAGTAACTGAGGTATATATATGCTGCAGCTGGAGGTGTAATCTCCAGCTTGGGTAGACAAAAACACAGTAGTTTTAATCCAGGTAGTGCACTAAAAACAGCAGCTTAGACAAGGCAGCACAGCTGGTGGCACGGGGCAACCTTGTGAGTATACGCACAGGATCTTGGAGGAGATTATACTCGGGTGGCTAGCCTATGCTGCTGCATGCGCCGCTGTGGCTACACTGCTATTTGTAGCATGCTAGCTTGATCAAAGCTAGTGCATACATCCACTTGAGCTGAAAACTGCACAGTGTAGATATACCCTGAGACAGAAAAGTGAAGTGATTTGCCTACGATGTTGCAAATCAGTGTCAAACAGATTAACTGAACAAATATGATAAAATACTAACGGTATTATTTTAATAAATTTTTTTGAATTATTGGTGATAATAGGAAATCCTGGGATCTTTACCTAATTTGTACTCAGGCAAAACTCCTATTAAATCCTATTAAACTCCCACTTTAATAGGAGTTTACTTGAGTAAAGAACTAAAAAAGACAGAAGGCCAAATTCTGCTCTGATTTAAACTGTTTTCAATCTGGAGTACACTGTGGAAGCCAACATTGTTGCTGTGGATTTACACTGTTGTAAGTGAAGCATCATATGGCCCTTAGGCAGGATTTGGGATTTGTCCCAATGTTTAGACATACTGTGCACAAACTGAAACTTGCTATCACTCTTTCAAATGCCAGTCCTAAACTTTTAGTGCTTCCTGTGCCCTTGAATTAATATATGAATTAATATATGACCAGGCATTTAAAAAAATTACTTGTCTCTCTTATCTATTCTTTACCAGAATGGCCTTTTCCACATTACTACCCCAGTGCAAGCTCCTCAGAAGTTCAGTCCTGACAATATAAGACTGATACAATGCTGTTCCCTGACTGTATGATGGAATAGCCTAATTCTGGCAATTAATAGATCTTTGACTATTAGCGGTAAATATGCCCAATGGCCTATGATGGGACACTAGATAGGCTGGGATCTGAGTTACTACAGAGAATTCTTTCCTGGGAGTCTGGCTGGTGAGTTTTGCCCACATGTTCAGGCCTTAGCTGATCGCCATATTTGGGGTCGGGAAGGAATTTTCCTCCAAGGCAGATTGGCAGAGGCCCTGGGGGTTTTTCGCCTTCCTCTGCAGCGTGGGGCACAGGGCACGGGTCACTTGCTGGAGGATTCTCTGCACCTTGAAGTCTTTAAACCACAAGTTGAGGACTTCAATAGCTCAGACATAGGTCAGGGGTTTGTTACAGGAGTGGGTGGGTGAGATTCTGTGGCCTGCATTGTGCAGGAGGTCAGACTAGAAGATCATAATGGTCCCTTCTGACCTTGAAGTCTATGAGTCTATGAAGTGATATAAGGCCAACCAATTTCACCTATATGTGCAGTACAGTTCCTGCAGAACTTCTGATTTTGTTCTCCTTCTTCTCTATTTTAGGACAATGGTGTGCAGTAAGACAGGCAGCAACCAGCAGAGTGTGAAAGCTATCGATGTTAACATTGAAAATGATCCCTCTCCAAGTGGCAGATACAATGCATTTTGTGTAAAAGATGAAGGTCAGCATTGATATGTCATTGAAACAATGTACTGTCACCATTGTCTTGCCTACAAAAAAGGACTTTTTTCTTACATTTTCCTACTAGTGGGAGCAATGATGGGAAATTTTGCAAAATAAATCCTTACGGTGTGTCTCCATTAAGTGAGGAATCTGTTGCAAGGACATGAGTTGCATGACATAGTGGTCCAACTTATTCTTGCAAGAGTTTAGCAAGTTCACACAGCAACAAGCCTACTGATAGAACCATTTTGGTGTTCACAAAACACATCTTACAACCTGAGCTGGGCTAATTTTTTTTGTCCAAAACTTTTTTCTGCAAAAAAATTCAGATTCAGCAACCAAACACTTCACAAAGTAGTTTGCTAAATTGTTCATGTCAAAAAACAAACAAACAAAAAATCTCAAGAGTCAGAACATTTAATTACATTTGCAAAATTAAATGTTTTGATTTTTTGGTTCCTTTAGAAATTTCCTTCCATCTTATTTTTAAAACACTCAAAATTGAAATAACATGTTTCTTTTCAGAATGAACAAAATCTCCCCCCCCTTTTTTTTTTTTCTTTTTGATTTACTGAAAATTTCAAAAAAAAAAAAATTCAGTTTGACCCAAAATGATTCCCCCACACACATTTTTTTGGAATTACCCATGAACCAAAAAAAATCATTATTCACACAGCTCTACTTACAACCATGGTTGTACCAATACATTCTGGGATTCATGAAGCACTGGTAGTGCTCAGCTATGTTGTTGGGAACAGGGGTTTTTGGATAATTTCCCAACACAAAACATTGTATTGTTGGTGAAGTTACTCTAGGAAGAAATCATCTAATACTACACGGCTAAAGACCTCATCTCAGATTAGGGTGACCAGATCACCCCGGTCAAATATCGGGACGCAGGGGGGCGGAGCAAAAAAAAAAAAAAACCCCCCCCCTTCGGCGACAAGCGCTGGAGGGAGGCCCTGGAGACGCAGGGGGAGCGTGGGGCTGGGGTGAGTGAGAGTCCGGCCTGGCCCCGAGCGCAGGCAGGACTCAGTCGGGCGGTACCTGGAGGGAGAGTAGGGGGGCGGCCCGCGGGGCCAGGCAGCGGCTGTTCTCCCCCCCTGGGCAGCGGGACTCGGGAGCAGCCGCTGCTGCAGCTCCCACTGCCACGGGGGGGAGGAAGCGGCCACGGCGCTCAGCGGCTGTGGCTCTGGCGCCCACGAACCTCCCGAGCCTGGGCCTGTTGCGGGGACCCAGCAGCGCACATGCTGCACCCAGCCCCTGGCCAGTCGCGTCTGGGCTGGCTGCCCAGCTGGTGCAATCCCGCGGGCGGCCCTGGAGTGGGGGCAACAGGCCCCAGCCCCGCCGTCCCGCTCGGGACCTGCAGGGGAACGAACGGGGCTGGGCTGCCGATGCCTCCGCCCCGGGGCCGCCGTGGGATTGCACCAGCTGGGCAGCAGCCCAGACGCGACTGGCCAGGGGCTGGGCGCAGCGTGCGCGCTGCTGGGTCCCTGCAACAGGCCCGGGCTCGGGGGGTTCGGGCCCAGGTGCCAGAGCCGCAGCCGCCCAGCGCCGTGGCCGCTTCCTCCCCCCGCGGCAGTGGGAGCTGCAGCAGCGGCTGCTCCCGAGTCCCACTGCCCGGGGGGGAGAACAGCCGCTGCCTGGCCCCGCGGGCCACCCCCCTACTCTCCCTCCAGGTACCGCCCGACTGAGTCCTGCCTGCACTCGGGGCCAGGCCGGACTCTCACTCACCCCGGCCCCGCGCTCCCCCTGCGTCTCCGGGGCCTCCCTTCAGCGCTTGTGGAGGGAGGAGGAATGGCGTGCTTGGGGAAGAGGTGGGGATTTGGGGAGGGAGCCAATGGGGGAAGGAAGGGGCGGAGTTGGGGCGGGAGGGGGCACGAGCCCTTCCGGGCTCCGGAGCCTTTGCTTGTTTGTCCCGTGTCCCAACCTAACATTGGTCAGGACACGGGACAAACAAGCAAATATCGAGACAGTCCCGATAAAATCGGGACGTCTGGTCACCCTATCTCAGATATTGCAACAAACCAGTGCAACTAATATTTGTGAAACACTTAAGAAGGCTATTATGTGTTGGCATGAGGTGCTGCACGCATATTATGATTACAAGGTATACCAGTCAGTTGGTATAGACCAGGCCTGCTTTGGGGACTCTGGACGTCACGGTTCATCCTGAATGTGAAACTAAAGTACTGTGCTAGAGGTTAACCTCAGTTGTAGATACTCAGATATCATGGCCCACCAGTAAAGATGTATTATGAGAAAAATATTGTTATTGATAGTAAATTTATCATACTTTTAAAAGCCGCTTTCCAGTATGGAAATTCAATCTCATTTTCAGCATTATACGGAACTGGATAAATTTAGGCATTCAAATTCTGTGCAGTTAAGAGTCACACTGGAAGACTTTGGCAGCTAGGGAGTCAGTATTCTGAACTCAGCATGTGGAATTAAATCTAGAATCTGTGTTCCTCATTCAGATAAAAAACTGAGGGACAAATTGTGCTCTCAGATACACCCTGTACATCCAAACTAACTCCATGGATAGCAGTGGATTTTCTCTAGATACATGTTTGTGTAACAGAATAATTTGGACCTGAGAATTTTTATATAAAATATAGACTGTACAGTTGAGTTAATGGAATAGTGGGGATGACCTGTTAAGCCCACAATGTGGTTTTGTGTGCCACTTCAAAGAAGGACAGAGATAGGCAGATGGCATTGACTGACACAGTACTTGAAAAACAGTAAACTCACACAGCACTTAGGGTGTTTTAACAAATCGTTAGTAGGGCTGTTGATTAATCGCAGTTAACTTACACAATTAACTCCAAAAAATTAATTGTGATTAATTGCACTCAAACAATAGAATACCAATTGAAATTTATTAAATATTTTGGATGTTTTTCTACATTTTCAAATATATTGATTTCTATTACAACACAGAATACAAAGTGTACAGTGCTCACTTTATATTATTATTTTTATTACAAATATTTGCACTGTAAAAATGATAAAAGAAATAGTCTTTTTCAATTCACCTCATGCAAATACCATAGGGCAATCTCTATGGTGAAAGTGCAACTTACACATGTAGATTTTTTTTATTACATAACTGCACTCAAAAACAAAACAATGTAAAACTTTAGAGCCCACAAGTCCACTCAGTCCTACTTCTTGTTCAGCCAATCGCTAAGACAGACAAGTTTGTTTACATTTATGGGAGATAATGCTGCCTGCTTCTTAATTACAATGTCACCTGAAAGTGAGAACAGGCGTTCACATGGCACTTTTGTAGCTAGCGTTGCAAAGTATTTACGCGCCAGATATGCTAAACATTCATATGCCCCTTCATGCATCGGCCACCATTCCAGAGGACATGCTTCCATGCTGATGATGCTCCTCTAAAAAATTAAATTAAATTTGTGACTGAACTCCTTGCGGGAGAATTGTATGTCTCCTGTTTTGTCTTACCCACATTTCATGTTATAGCAGTCTTGGATGATGACCCAGCACGTTCGTTTTAAAAACATTTTCAAAGCCGATTTGACAAAACGCAAAGAAGGTACCAATGTGAGATTACAGCACTTGACTCAAGTTTTAAGAATCTGAAGTGCCTTCCAAAATCTGAGAGGGACAAGGTGTGGAGCATGCTTTTAGAAGTCTTAAAAGAGCAACACTCCGATGCGGAAACTACAGAACCCAAACCACCGAAAAAGAAAATCAACCTTCCCTTGGTGGCATCTGACTCAGATGATGAAAATGAACATGCGTTGGTCCGCTCCGCTTTGGATCGTTATCGAGCAGAACCCGTCATTCGCATGGATGCATATCCTCTAGAATGATGGCTGAAGCATGAAGGGACATATGAATCTTTAGCACATCTGGCATGTAAATATCTTGCGACGCCGGCTACAACAGTGCCATGTGACTGCCCGTTCTCACTTTCAGGTGACGTTGTAAACAAGAACCGAGCAGCATTATCTCCTGCAAATTGTAACCAAACTTGTTTGGTTTGACTGAGTGGACTTGTAGGCTCTAAAGTTTTACATTGTTTTGTTTTTGAATGCAGTTTTTTTTGTACATAATTCTACATTTGTAAGTTGAACTTTCATGATAAAGAGATTGTACTACAGTACTTGTATGAGGTGAATTGAAAAATACTATTTTTTTTGTTTTTTACAGTGCAAATATTTGTAATAAAAAATAAATATAAAGTGAGCACTTTACTCTTTGTATTCTGTGTTGTAATTGAAATAAAAATATTTGAAAATGTAGAAAACATCCAAAAATATTTAAATAAATGGAATTCTATTATTGTTTAACAGCGCGATTAATCACGATTAATTTTTTTAATCGCTTGACAGCCCTAATCTTTAGTCAAGCCTGTGAATATAATGACATGACAATATCATGCTGAAGTGACAAAAGGTGTGCAGCATATCTGATCTATTGTTAGACAATCAAATATTGCAACATTTGACTTGAAAAGGTCCAGTTTTCTATCTATTCAATAACTTCTGCAAAGATCATTGTGCTACTTCCTCACTTTGACCATGTCACCCCTGTCTTTGAATCCTTCCACTGGCTCCCCCTTCTCAATGGCACCAAACACAAACTACATGTCTTCACTTTCAAGGCCCTTCACAGCCTATCCCCAACCTTTCCTATCATTTGTCATGGATTATCGTGTCAACTTTCACCTACTGCTCATTGATGCCATTTTCCTCACCCAATTGTTGCATTTTGAAACAAGCACCTTTCTCCCATGCTGCCTGTCACATGAGAGAAGCTCCCATAAATATCCACCCAACCAACGCATCTTCCTTCTTCAAATCCCTCCTTAAAACTCTCCCTTGCTGTGTGGCCTATAAAAACTGGGCAATGGTTAAGTAGTTAGGGTACTGATACCACTGCCTGTCACGCTGGCCAGTATTGTCTTATTGTTTCATTGTGCTCTGCCTGCCTGTCTCCACCCTTGTCTTATTCTTAAATAGT